ATATTTGGAGGTTTCCTGAAATTAGGAAAACTTTTTTTGGAGGTCCCGATAATAACGAGGATTATGAACATAGTATTTCGGGATCTATATTGGGGTCCCCTGATTTTTTGCAAACCGTCACTTCATGATTATTCAGTTTTTGCGTTGTGTCGCCTAATTTCTCATAATCTTTTACACTTGTCGCCACGTATTATCTTTGTCATCTTCATCATGATTATCTTTCATCATAGGCCATAATTTTGATCGCTCACGGCATTTTGCCTGAGATTTTCATCTTTTGTAAGCATTTTCTTTTCACAATTGCCCCGCATGCAAAGTCTTTGTCGTGTTTCTTGCATCTTACGCTTATGATAAATATAAATACATATATCATATATATATATACATACATACGCGTTGTTGCAAAAGTTTGGCAATGTTATCATTGTATACTTCTGATTGTATGAGTGTCGGCGTTATCATAATTGATTGGTTGATTGAAGCCTGTGAGCAGTCATGCTCCGCCTCATTAGGCAAGGCCAGGTCAGGAGACTACTGCTCTGTTGGCAAGCAGCCCATCACTTCACATGTAACATGTCTGCACATCTCTCGAAAACAGCAAGACAAAAAGGGAATCAGGGGAGTCGTTATCATAATATCATTTGTCTCTCATTATGAAACGTTTATGGTTCTTCTGAGCTTCATATCGCTCTTATAGAAGATGTACTTCCCTCTGACATTATAACAGTGACAGGAAACGATGCGAATAAGCACGAGAAAGAAAATTTGATGAACATTGAAAGTCATGGAAACTATTGAATGTTCTAAAGGTTCATACAGACCATACAGAAGAACAAATTGAGATTGATGAAATAGTGAATCATCATGAACAGAAACAACAGAAAACGATGAACCATGATGATGACTATGATGAAACTTCATGAAACAGCGTGCAAAAGATAAAAATGAAAACATGTCATGAAACATGATAAACAATGATTAACAAGATGGAAAATGTTGAAATGATACAAATGATGAATCCTCTCATGAAATCTAAGAAGCATGATGAAAATTTGTTTGAGAGCTTGATGAAAGCTGATGGCATGGACTGAAATGATGAAAACTCATGCAGCATGATGCAAATCATGTGAATGATGAAAAATGCAGATACATGATGAAACGTGAAGAAATATGATGAAAATGAAGTGCAATCCAAAAATATAAAATCATTGAAGAATGATGAGACCCGATGAACGACGGTCAAAGATGGCGCAAAAGATATGACTAACATTATACAGGCTGTAGAAAATTAAATGTGATGAAGGAACAGCGGTGAGGTGAGGAAGACAATGACACATGCGGAAACAAGATGAATCATGACACACCATACAAAAAGATAACAGAAAGATGGAAAGACAATGAAACTCGATGAGTCAAAGTAAAAATGAACATGAAAACGTATGGTGGAAAATAAGGAGAAGGATGAAAAATGATGAAACTGATCAAAACCTATCATGATGAAAATGATAACATATGCTGAGCAATTGTGATAATGCTAAAAAGCCATGTCAGCCTATAAAAACACGCGAATAGAAATGTGAAGAACAAGGACGAAATATGCCGACAATATGAATTTCAAGAAGCTTGACAAAACATGCTAAAGACTGATGAAATTTCATGAAGAAGGGGGACCTTCCTTGCTTTCCTGGCTTCATGCCTTCCTTCCTTGCTTCGTTCTTGCTTTGCCAGAAAGCTGCGACGCCGAGGAACCGGGAAGCCAGAAAGGCACGAAGTCAAGGAACAAGAAGCCACAAAGCCACGAAGCCGTTGGACAGACCATGCGTAACACCCAAGCCACACAAGCAACAAAAGAAACAAGTAGAAAACATGTGAAAACATGGAAAAATACATCCACATAAGCTTTTGCCTGGCTCAGGCTACCCATCTGCTCCAGGCGCTCACCTCCTCGCAAGTGACACGAGTGACGCAAAGATGCGAATCAAAGTCAGCCTGATCATTCTGTGCAAAGAGACATAGCAGCAATTGCATGTTTTGCTGAGAAACCTGATGTGCTGCATTTGCCAATACGCCTGTTGCCAAATCCAGGCTTTGCAGTCCTGGTACATCAACTCACAGCCATCAACAAAACCGTGGGCATGTGCCAGCAGGCAGCAGTCAGGGTGTTGCAATGTTGTTGGCATCGACCTTCTGTGCTTGCCAGCTTTTGTATTCCCATGCTAATTTCTACTTCCGAGCCGAAGCGGGATTTGCGGATGCTCATGATCACCTGCATGCTGTCAGCATGTGCTGACTGTAAATATGAGGAAGATGCAGCAGACCAGAGCCTCCAGCTTGGCCATGTATACCTCAAAACGCGCTTTTGCAGTAGACTTGAATACAAACCTGTCAACGAGGATGCAATAACTCTTTCTCACTGCGGCACATCTCTTCCAAATTCTGCTGCCGTCTCGGCACCTCAGAATGGAATATGAATTGCCGCCATAACTTCAGAGTGCCAAGTTTGAAATGCTTTGGGCTATGTGTTTGTTTCTTATGCTGCCAGTGTTTTTTCTCATGCTCCGGGCTGGTGGGTGCTCGCTTTTATGCTCGCGGTTTTTTCTGTTATGCGGAAGTGTTTGGTTTTTTAATCTCCCCTTTGCCAATGTGCTTGGTTTTATGCCGACCGTGTTTTTTCTTATGCGGCCCCCTCCGCACAGAGCATCAGCATGCTTTTCATGCTCACACTGTGTATGGACAAAGTGATTGGACGCATGTGCAACCTTTACATGTACTCGCCCTGGCGTTCCGGGGCCAGTAGGCATTGACCCAATGGCCTTCACACACCATAACATGGTCCTGGAAGTACCTCTTAAGTGCTGCGTGGTTCAAGACGTGGCCGCCTCCTTGAAGCTCAAGCGGCCCCTCGCACAGACCACCAGCATACTTTTCATGTTCACGCTCGCGCTCTTCATGTAATGCATGCAAGGCGTGGTGTGGTGGTAGCGTGGTGGTGCTGTGTTGTCGTGGTGGTGTCGTGGCATGGTGGCATGGTGACGTTGTGGCGTGGTGGTGCGGTGGCGTGGTGGCATGGTGGTGTGGTGGCATGGTGGTGTGGTGGCATGGTGGTGTGGTGGCATGATGGTGTGGTGGCATGGCGGCGTGGTATCATGTGGTATGGAGTGGTATGGTGTGGTATGGAGTGGTATGGTGTGCTATGGTGTCGTGTGGTAGTGTGGTTGTATGGCGGTGAGGTGGTGTGGCAGTGTGCTGTGGCGCCGTGGCGTGGTGTCGTGGTGGCGGCGTGGTGGCGTGGTGGTGTGTTGGCGTGGTGGCGTGGCGTGGTGATCCTGCAACAACTAGATGTTACTTCCTTGTAGCCACGCTCGTACGCTGATCCTAACAATTAAAGCTCACGATACCTAAGATTCCAGTAACTCATGCCGACTTAATTCATAGTAGTCAGGTTTAGGGTTTAAGCTCTAAGGTTTCGTTTAAAGTATGCGTCGTCAGAATTTGACCGTAGTTCCGAACAAACCGCCCCAGCATAAAGAGAAGCACCCCCAACATCTAGAAAAACACCCTCAGCATAAGGAGAAGCCATGGCGGACTGGATTCAACAACACAGCAGCGTGAGAATACACACGCCCAGCATAAATACAGAAACCATGGCATAAGCTCAAGAACCATGCCAGCCCTGGAGGCATAAAATGAACGAACTACCTAAAAACAAAATGCCGCGCATAAGGGACAAAACCCACAGCATAACAAAAAACACGCAGCCCGAATTCTTTTATGACACGCTTTTTGGCCAAGCCACAGGCAACAAAGCCAAATCCTCTTCGATCATTGTATGATTTCACTGCTCCAAGATAGACCTGCAATGGCAGCAAAGCTTCTGAAACCAGCTGTGGATGTTGTAGCGAGCCTTGTCTGAGTCAGGCAACCCTGGCACTTCCGCATCAGATGATGCTTCTGCAGCCATTAGCACACCTTCCCAATCAGCCAACGGCAACATAGATTTCCAAAAAAAACAACATTCGACAACATGCTGGACCATCAGTACGCCTGCAGCACAAGGCCCGGCTGTCAGAGGGACCGCGGCTTTGCGCTGTTTTGGACCAAGGCGTTAGGTTGCAAACAGGTTTGTAACATCATGTTTCACGAGATCTGCATCAGAACTGTGTGTTTGCGATATGCATCCCAAACAACAGGGAATGCAAACAGCGAAAGCTCAACATTTTCAACTGGTATCGAAGGGCTTCAGCTTCCCACTCAGATCATCCAGCGGCAAGGAATCCCGAACAGCATGCCTGGACATGCAGCACCATACGAATCCAAATCGCACAATGTTGATAGACTTCGGGAGCGATACAGCTCTTTTGATTCCTACTTTCGTAGGCTTGCAGTTGACATGCTTTGCCATAGCCTGCAGTCTGTGCATCGGCCACTACACGACTTGAAGCGCCTTCGCAGTGCCTGAGTACTTTGAAAACTGAGTATTTGTTGCCGGAGACCGTGAGCGACACGTGAGTCGGGCATACTTACAACTGTGACTGATGTGAAGTGGTGGCAAGTGAGCCATGGTTTTTATTCCTATA